ACAAAAGTAGAGAGTTTCATATTAAGAAAAAAGTTTGACATTTATAGCGAAAGTCTAACATAGTCTTGACAATCCTTTATACAACATCAATGCAGTGGTAGTGATGTAACCCATACACCACGTACAACATCCAAAAGTAAATAAAATAAGAAATCAATAAAGGTGACATCATCCTCAAAGTATGAGGACTCACCAAGTCTTTGAATATCTATGTGCTCACTAGCAACGAATGGAGGGAGAGGAGTCGTCAAGCCCTACATTACGAAAATAGTGTAGGCACAAATATGCACTAGTACATGGTATATGGAATGTACTAAGTATGAGGGAAATGCAATAAAATATGGAATATTATCATAATAGGATATAATCGAAAACATGAAATGCATGACCAAGCTAAATATAGAGAAGCCCTTCTTAAGAAATATCATAAACTTGAACATGGTCAATGCATCTAGAATTCATAAGGAAATATTCAATAAACACTTTGAAGTAACTTAATTTATTTTGTGGGATATTTACTATAAACAGACACAAACCATGTGAGCTATCACATGGAACACAGTGTCTTGCTCCCATACTGAAAAGAGATGTCCTTACTTGATAAGGAAATGACCTTAACTTTTATCATAGGAGGATCCACTAGCTAAGTCAATTAAGACAATATACAGGGGTACAAAATTAGTGATAAAGAGATTTCTACTAAGGACCCGACCTCTACTAACGGGAGAGCCTCCATCTTAATATCCTCTCGGTGCTAAGTAAAAATCTCAATAGAATAGTCATAAACATGAAAATATCATCATCCATGGAAAAGAATAATTTAGTTGTTAATCCAAGCTAATAATATCATACAATAGCACCTTAAAACGTGAATCATGCATGCACGAGAAAACCTTTCACCAAACCATGATCCCTTAATGTGAGAAAACCTTTCACAACTTCATTTATGTCAATCTTATAGAAACCTAGATCATAAAACCTTTCCTTTCATAAATCATGCATAAATTGATGAAAAAATCATTCATAGCTTCATAGCTTATTCATATATTCATGTAAATTAGGGTTCATAGTAAAGATCATGATCAATGCATGGGTTCATATGGAGTTGAAGTGAAAATATGTGTGTAATTGAGTTTAAATCATCATATTATAATCACAATTAAATAATTAACTCCATACAAATAGAACCCATGAGGAATTCAATGAAAACATAATCAATTGGATTGAAATTTGACTTGGAGATTGGGAAACCTTGGGGCGCAATGGGTTAATGGAACCCATTGATGAATCCCTGCATAACTTGAGGATGAATGCCTAGAATCAATAGTGAAAATGAGTCTTAAACTTGTAACCCTAGCTTCTTCTTCCTTACTCCTTGAGAGAAAAGCTTGAGATGATTTGGGGATTCTTGGGAGATTGATTTGGAAATGGGTAAGTTAGCACTAAAATAGTTATAGGGGCTTATATATAGGAAAAAATGATATAGAAATTTGGTGCATAGAAAAAGACCAAAACACCCTTTAAAATAACTATCAGTCAGACCTACGGTTGCGACCTATGGACAGTATAAATTCCTATGGACTTTACTCGTGAACTGTAGGTTGAGTGAATGGGCCTGAAATTAAGGTTAAATCCTACAAATCGTTCTACGGACCATCAAACTTCATGTGGTCTGTAGACCCCATCTGTACACCTCAACTTTTAGCTCAAAATTTCACAAGTCTGGGACCTTTCTATGGAACCTTCCTACGGTCTATAGTCCATTCGACGAACCATCCTGGTCAATCGTAGAACGGGTTACTGGGCTTGTTTTCAAAAATATTTTTTCCACTTCCTACGAGACTGGTCTACGACCCATAGAACTTCCTACGAACCATAGGCTTGTCTCATCGAATTGAACCAGAAGACCTTTATGGCCTTCTTTCCTTTTATGAATTCTTAGGTGTTACAATTGTGCAAACAATGTCTCATGTATCCATGCTTCGGAAGTATGTGCCAGATGAGTCTCACGTGCTTTCACTCAATTAAGTGGAGTTGGGTATATACGTGGTTCGCGAAAGTAAATAGTAACATACTTCTTCCCCATGAATGCGGGAGGTGGGGTTAACCTTGACAAGCCTCCACTAATGCAGGACATGGTCCATGAATGGAAAGCACAAATTAAGATTCACCAGTAAGAGCTACATCAGCTTAACTTTTTTTAGAGTTGAAAAATACTCTTATGGGGTGCTCAGTATTCGTTTTGAACCCCATTTATGAAAACTTCATGCGGTCTGTAGACCCCATCCGTACACCTCAACTTTCAACTTAAAATTTCATGAAGTCTGAGACCTTTCTACAAACCTTCCTACGGTTTGTAGTCCATTCGATAAACTGTCCTGGTCAATCGTAGAATGGATTACTGGGCTTGTTTTCCAAAATATTTTTTTCCACTTCCTACTAGGCTGATCTACGACCCATAGAACTTTGTACAAACCATAGACTTGTCTCGTGGAATTGAACCAGTAGCCCTTTATGGCCTTTTTTCCTTCTTCGAAGTCTGAGGTGTTATAGTTGTGCAATCAGTGTTTCATCTCTCCATGCTTCAAAAGTATGTGCCAGATGAGTCTCACGTGCTTTCACTCAATTAAGTGGAGTTGGCTACATACATGGTTCACGAATGTAAATAGTAACATTCTTCTTCCCCACGAATGCGAGAGGAGAGGTTAATCTTGACAAGCCTCCACGAACGCAGGACCTGGTCCATGAACGCAAAGCACAAATCAAGATTCACCAGTAAGAGCTACATCAGCTGAACTTTTTAAGAGTTGAAAAATACTCGTCGGGGTGCTTAGGATTCGTTTAGAATCTCATGCATGCAAATGAGATATGCAACCCTATAAAATTTGATATTTTGGACTCAACGGAGATGTCAAAACTTCAAACTGAGGTGGTCTCCACAAAATATAGCCTCACACCCAGACTCTATTTTAAGACAAATTCCATAAGGTATCTCTGAATGAGCCTGGAAGCCTCAGCATCCGCACCGAATGTCTAGACCAAACTTGAAAGGGCTAATGGAACCGTCAAAATTGCATTGTGAGGTCGTCGACCTGAAGTATTCACCGAGGTCAACCATTCAAGTACTAGAATCTCCAAAATACGAAATGTCACACAAAACCCAAACAAATGACCCAATGACCAAACTATCAGTGAGACTAAGTCATAAATGACTTGAGACCGCTATAGGAATACTCCTAACACCGAAATTATTAGAAAATGGTAAAAATGACCTTGAGGGTCATTACAATACCACATGTAATGTAAGTGTAATTTTCATAAGGAAGGGAAATAAATGTTTGATCTTAAAATAGGGTGTGAATCAAACATTAAATTATAATAAAATAGTACTTAGTGTGATTAACACTATTTTCTATAATGGATTTTATAATAAAGAAAACAATATTTTCTTACTATTCATAATTATTACTCCTTCTATTTCAATTAATTTGTCTTGCTTTTAACTTTAGTTCATTTAAAAAATAATGTTTCTTTCCTCTTTTGGCATCTGCTTCATTCTAACTTCACACATGACATGTTTAAGATCACAAGATGGAAGGACATATTAATACATGTTATTTATCTTAATTTAAGACCACAAAATTTAAAAAAATTATTTACTTTATTAATTTCAGGCTAATCAAAACCAAATAAATAAATTTAAACAGAGGGAATAGTATCTAAAAGTAATATAAAATAAATAATTTGAAAAAATGGCAACTGTAATATTAACCTCCAATTTTTTCTGTTTCTTCAAAAGGGAAAATCTAAGTCCTAAAATAAATCAAATCAAAGGTTATTGTCTTTATTTGTTGATTCATTTTTTAGAAGAAGTAACAACATTTTTTTTCTTCAGGCAATTCTATTGAATATTTTAAGGGCATTAGAAGCATATTATATATTTTTTTCAAAATTGAATTAGTTATTACCACTTATCATACGAAACCTTAATCATTGTGTGTTTCCTCTTTGACTATACTAGTCACTTTAGGTTAATATACTGTTTGGGTGACACAATAATGTTAGAATTTTGTGCTTTCTTAAAACAAATTAAGATTTCAATGGGCTAGTTCAATGTAAATAACTATTGACAAAAAATACATCTCTATTTGTTTTACCCCTTGTTTGAATAATTAACAAATTAAAGGGATTTTGATTTTGCTTCAAAAGAAAGATGGTCCAATAAAGAAAAGGTTTTTCTCCAAACTATTATATATGGTGTGTAAATGACACATATTACATATTTATTGATTTGAAAGTAAAAAATAACTTTGAAATCTATAACTACAAATAAAGATAAAGGAAAAGTACATTAAATGTTATTTGCATTTTTAGAATAGCAGTAGGGCGTTGAACTTGGACTCTTAAAAATAAATTTAAGCGAAGTCATTCAATTTTCTTTTGAATATGTCCAAATCAAGAAGAAATATATAACACAAATTGTCTTACATACGTCCAATGACATTAAAGTTGTGTAATTTAATTATTATTTTCAGTTACTTTTGATATTTCATTATTGTAGTCTTTCCTTTTTCAATTATCAAACACAAAAAGATTTCACAAATTTTTAATCAAGTTAGCTTGTTAAATGCATTTACACAATAATTATTACAAATTATAGAATAAAACTGTGTTTTTTGAACATATACTAGAGGCTCAGAGATTATATGATGTTTGGTCCGATTCCTGATGCAATTTTCATGATTTGTTTTTTTATCTAATCTTTTTCAAACATAAAAATTGAAATCCAAAGGTAGAGCATAAAAATATATAAATACACAAATTAAACGACACTTGTAATTCACTTATTATATCAAAAACATTTGTTGCATAAAATATTAAGGGTCCTCAAGGGGACTAAATGAACTACAAACTAAAATATGATTACTTCTACTCCATTTTTAGAAAGATTAACATACATAAAAAGGACTTATGATTTTTTGCAAATTCTAAGACATTATTTATGGGAAGGAAGACTTGCCATTTCTTTTGACATATTTCCGCATCCACACATGCTTCCCATTAATACTAAATTTAACTTTGGATTCATCTTTTAGAATAGACTCTACAATTTCAGGTGTAACAAATACGATTCGAGCATAAAGAGCTTGTTCATTGGATTTCACATCTTGCATGATAATAGACTCAATGTTGTCTCCAAAATATGATGTAAAGAATTCCCTTATTTCCCATTCTGCAACAGGATAGCCCTTTGAGAAAGTAAGAAACATGCTCCGTTCTTCATATGGTACGTTATTTCCCTTCATCCTCCAAGTAGACATCATGTCACCTCCAAGTCCTAGATGAGACATTCTTTCACTCAAAGATAACTCACAAGGAGGTGGCACCATTGTTAGTTTGCTTTCAATCACGGTTTGTTTAGAACTTCCACTCATCATGGCCTTTTCCATGATATCTTGAAATGCCTTGTGACAAACCTCATTTAGAATCTTCTTCATCTCACTATTTGCATTGTCTCGATTTTCATGAAAAAATTGGAGAGATAAGTCTTTTCTAGTGAGGTGTTGAGTTAGCGGAATCTCACTTGAATAAGTTGGGACCAGGCCAAATTGATTGTCCTCAATGCATTTGAGACAAGTTGCACCCTCATCAGCAAGTTCGTTAATAAAAAAATTAGGTAGGGCTATGATCTTACTTATAAAATTTTTGAAATGACATGTTCGCTCCAACCAAATCCATAATGACAATGTATGCATTGATTCAAAAGGATTACGCTCAAGGTTAATAACAAGTAAATAATAAAGTTTTCGATCAATCTTATGAAAATGCTTGAATTCCTCCATAGTGATTTGAAAAGTTGGAGAATCCAAACCAAGTGACATTGGTAGTGATCAAACCTGAAATGCCACAAATTAAATTATAATGAATCAAGAAGGAAAACAAAAACCCTAATTTTGTCAAACAAATAAGCATACAAAATGGAATAAAATATATAAATCAACCAATATGATTCAAGCATATGAAAAAGATGAAATACACATTTTCATCTATGTAGAGATTTAAACAAAGACGAAAATAAAAAAAGCTTAGGCTACAAAAATGAAGTGAGGAAGAACAAACCAAAAGGTAACGTCAAGGGAGGGTTGTTTTGAAGAACTCAATTTGACAAAATAACTTGACAAGCTAACTCATTTATAGGTGAAAAAATTTCACTGGTCAATGCTCTAATAAAGTTATTCTTATCAGTATTCTACCAAAACAAAGTAGAGTAATTATAGATTTGGAAGCATTTACAGAAAAAAAAACTAGAGCAGTAATTACAATTTTTGAAGTATTTATAGAAAAATGTAGGACAGTAAGTACAAATTTTGAAACATTTACACAAAAAGTCTTGTTTACTAGATTGCAATTAAATCTTCTTAGTGTCATTCTAGAAATCATATTGAAAGAACTTCATACACATTCTATACAAGAAATGATGAGAGAATCAAAGCTCAAGATCACCTAGAATAACTAATTACATAATCGCAAAATATATATATAAAAAAGAAGCATAATGCTTTAACTTCTACAATTATGAAAGAAACTTCTAGTTACATAGGGAGATATCAGTCTAAAAAATAAATGTAGAACAACCTGATATATTACTAAATAACTTGACAGTATATATGAATATACCTCATTCTATAATACCTACACCAAAGAATCAGGTGTTTTAAAGTATTCCTCTAATAATTAATACGAATTTTGTTAACATTGACATAAATTGAGATAGAATATTTAGGGGTTGCGTATTCAAATTATAGCACAAAAGAGACAACCACTAATTCATTGATAAATGACTCATGTCCTTTTATCACAAACTTTAAAATTGTGTTCCTCTATCGAAAATGTTCTCTACTTTATTCATATTTATCGAAAATGGTTCCACCCTCAAGTTTATTCTCTTCATTAACGAACACCTTATAATTAACTCTCATACGATGCACGTAAAAAGTACACGATGCACGTAAAAATTATAATTTAGGTAAGATTCGAAGCATGCTAGCCATTAAACACACTCTAATTTGTTAAAAACATGCCTAGATTATACAAAATTTTGTGAAACAATTGTTTTGGTGGACACTCCATTGACATGTAATGTATTTTCTATTCTCTCAATTTTTAATGTATCCCATTAAACTAGTGTGCAAATTTTAATATCAATTGTGTATGTTGACTCCACCAACTTCTAAAAATGAAAATAATCCAAGTTACTCGATGTATAATAGATTGAAAAACAACAAAATATAATTATTTCATTGTTCACCATTAGTCATCCAATCAGCTTTTTATAGGCATTGCAATACGTTAAGGCTTGTCTAGGTAACTGTTAATGGCTTCTACATGTTGTTTTGTTTAATAAATTCAATGTTTTGTTTCATAATTTGAAGTATCTTTTTAACATTTATATCTTCTCCGATTGAAATTCTTAAAAAAGGGTGAGTAGTTGATGTCGATATTTAGGTAAATCCAATTATTTCACATAGCAAATATATTGTAAGAGAAAATGATAATATATGAAGAGAATGAATTCTTCGTTTATTCTAGTTTTGGCATGATACATATTAATTGGAATCAAGATGAGAAGAAAACACTAGATCAAATCTTCATTCTAGATGCAAAAATATGAAGAAACAATTTAGTTAAGCTACACCAAGAAGTATTTATTTAAAAGAATCCTAAAATATATCTAAGCACTTTATATTCAATATTTTATTACTATACAAACTATTACACGGAGGAAAACATAAGGGTAATGGAAAACATTATCAAAATAGAAGGAGAAGTAAGCAAAAATATACATACAAAACAACCCAAACACCTGACATCAGTTAGTACTCGAGCTTTTAATCAAAATAGGAGTACAAGACTTTACAAAAACAATTATATACAGAACTATTTCAGAATACAAAATAAATACAAAACCTAGTAAAAAACAGAGGGAAACTAACAACTCCAGACGTCAAGAGCTTACCCTATTCTCCATATCCCAAAAGTTGCTCCGCATGAGACCCAAATCAATGGCGAGAACTTGTACTATAACCTGTAGGATATATATATGTAGTGGTACTCAGTAGGCATAGGTCGACTGAGCTTCAACAATAAAGACATCATAAATAGCAAGTATATAATAAGGAAAGTGCAACACAAGAAATTAAAGAAAAGACACTACATAGTTTAAGATGAACAACTATAAAGGAATAAAATACAATGAACAAGAAACCGAGTATAATGACCTGGTCATTATCAATAAGTCAATAGTGAAAGAATTTGGTCCAGAAAACCTTCCAGGTAGCGACTTAAATTTTGTTTGCTAGGTCAGCCTCAAATGGAATCTATGTTAGGTGATGTCTAGGGATATCTGGGAATGTATGGTGTGTGATGTTGAGGTTTTGTTGATATTTTACTATAGCACAGACATTAAGGAGTCCATAGGACTTTTCAAAATTGAATTCAGATAAGTAGAACTCCCAAAATTGATTTTGGCATGGACTATGTAGGAACATCAAGGGAAGAGGTTGTGTTGTGAATAATGGAATTTTCTAGAATTTTGAGGCTCTGAAATTTCATCAAATCCATAATAGCAGGAGGCTTCACTCTACAGCGATGCTCACACCACTTTAGTGGGTAAGTACTCTAGAGTGGCGCCGCTATAGGAGAGAGAAACAAGATTTTATATGGAAACAACCCTAAAACCCCTATTTTCTACACTCGGTATTCTTGAACTTGGGAGGGGAAATTTTGGGTTGTCTGCACTTGTTTTTCCATGAAATTCTTCGGTAAAGGTAAGATTTTGACTCTCCAACCTTGTTCAATGATTCTTAAGCCTTAAAAATCTAGGTTATTACTCTTGGGGGAAGGTTTTGAAGTGATTCCATAGTGGAAAAAGCCCTAAGTTGGGGAAAATGATCATATCTTGGTGTGGGGTTAGGATTTGTTGACAATCTGGGTAAATTATAGGCCATTAGTGATTGATTGTTGTTTTAATTAATTGTTTTATACCAAGAACAAGCTAAGGCACTTCGCAAGTGGAAAACTCGGGTTCTTTAGAGTTTCCAAGAGGCTTGATTTGAGGTAGGTGATGGTTGTATGTTTCTGATTTATGTATGTATGTATGTCTATTGATTTGTAGAATTATTTGTGCAATGCAAGGTAGGGAGACATATGAAATTAAATCATATAGGTAATATCATGCAATGAACTTGTTATTGTGACTTGTGATTTTCAAGTGGTAATGTTCATCGTACTATATAATTGTGCATGTTTGTTGGTTAGCTCTTGTACCACACTGGTACACCAACTATGGATTACTTTAGTACCACACTGGTACACTAACTATGGATTGCTCGATTACCACGTCGTTACACTAACAGTTTGGGTTTGGGTTCTATGAGAGGACCATGTATGTGATTGTGGTTCAATGAGTGGACCATAAATATGTAATTGTGATCATGTGAGACATGTATTCAGGTATTATTATTGTTTCATGACATGTGACTAATAGTTTTATGGTTGGTATTTGTTGTTATATATATTATTCTGTGTTACCACTTTATGGTGAACTCTTTATATTCATATCTTGGATTGGTTTTGTGATCCTACGAGTACTTTGTGGTTTGAGTACTTGTATTACATCTGCTCTTTTCCTTGTTGAGTATAAGGCATCTTCATGTGGCTAATTCAAGACCTTAATTGAGGAATACCTGATTCTGACTCCAAGGATGAGTAACATATTTCATGTGGCCATGAATTCTTATGCATTTATTGTCCATATTTTTAGGCACAAACACTAGTCTTTAGCTTTATGTTAGTTTCGGGGTTGCATCCCCAGCTTGACTACCTTAGTTTTTTGGTGTGATGACTTTCAATTTTTAGGGTTATTCCGCATTAAATATTTTTAGACTATTAGGTTGAGTTTATGGGGACTCAATTCTTTAGGGACTAAATTTTTTTCCTTATTCTATATGATAAGCGCGCTTCTTTTAATAAATAGTGTTGGGTTGGTTTTGGGTTATTCTTTGGTTCTCCCACCATGTGGTTTAGTGTAGCTGCCACTCACACGATTGGGGTCGTGATAAACTTGGTATCAGAGCCCTAGGTTTGTTGATCTCGTCATACCAAAAAGAGTCTGGTAGAGTCCTATGGAATGGTACAAAGACATTTGAGAGGCTACATGACTCTAGGAACTTCTCTTTCTTTCTTTCTTTCTTTCTTTCTTTGTGCTATGACTTGATTCCAATTGGTATATGTCGATCCAAATTGGTATCTAACTCTTCCACTCTCTTTTCCATAGAAGGTTGACACTCGATGTAATGGTGCAAGGGTAGTAGATCCAGAAGTAGAGCAAGAAACTAAGCCCATAGTGAGATGATGTGGCAGAGAAAAAGGTATGGGTAGGGGAAGAGGAAGGGAAACACCCATCAGAGGTGGAGTGTACACCAAAAATGTACCAAGG